TTATGCGCTCGCATGTTCCTACCACTGTCAATATTCATTTCAATATTGTTCTGGCGACGAGAAAGAATCTTTTGGAATGATATGCAAATGGAGACGAGGCTCGAGACATAACAAGTAACAAGTAGACGGGTCCATTGTGTGCTTAGTCGGTGATTTGGCTGATGAAGGCGCGCTCTGCCTCGTTGCCCAATTGCACCGTTACTACCGTATTCGAAGCTCTCTACTATTTTCTATCTTTGTCTTGCAGAAACATTGACAATGATTATTCGGCAAACGGAACAGAAAAGAGAACAAATCGGTCTGATAACGCGCGAAATCAAACGGCAGTCGGGAAACTTTTCTTGCCACTCGGCTAAACTTATATCGCTTGCTTTATTGTGCGTGTAGAGCGCGCACGATTGTCTTTTCCCCGGCTGTTTGCGCGCGCGAGCCTCGCGCCTCGAATTGAAATTAAGCGACGAGGCAAACGAGTTGGCAGCCTAGGGAATGCTCAAGTGAACGATTTGAATGTGATTGCAGCTTTGGCGCTGTTGCTTGATGTGTTTGTATTCGCGAGTTAATTGTTTTACTCGACACGTTTTGCTGCATCCGCGTTAATCTTTTACGGGCTTGCGAGATTTAACGTATATGATGATGACTATTGTTTGTCACTGGCAATTGTTGATAACAAATAGAAACATGGCTGTCGTACTTCCTTTCGATAACGTTGCGTTAAAAAAAATTGTTCTTAATTTAAGAAAGCGATCGCTCGTTCATGTAACTGAAGAACTCAATGGAAATGCTTTTAGAAACGAAGCGAATCAATAAAGATAAATCAAACAGCTCTATAAATATAATTGGCTAGCAAGAGAATGACTTTTTAAAAATAGCACAGATTATATAACGTACAAGACGACTTATATAGACTCGCGGCCGAAAATTTCTCTACTGCGATCTTATTAAAGTCGACGTGCTCGCGCCCCGACTATTTTTCGCCATACGAGAAGATGATTGATATAATGGAGGAAAGAACTTGCCTTGCGCGTTCTAATTAATTTAGTCTGCCTTGTGACTTTCAGCTTTTCCGAGCGCGAGTAAGAGTTTCGTTGTCGGTTTATTATTTGTCGCGAACAACTTATTTTTTACTTTTATAAATTTAATAATAAATGTTTAATGCTGGTTATAATACAACTGGATTCAGCACTTTTAAATATAACATACCCACTCAACTAGACATGTATAAAACTCATAAAATTTAAGCATCTTTATAAGCCATAAATACTGTCTTCCGCTTTATAGGATATATAATCACTTGAATGTTAAATTTTCTATAATATCAAAAAATATGAGTTCGTGCAGTTGAATCTCTAGAAAAATTCCTACTATCTGGTGCTCTTTATTGACAAGTGCTACAGACATTTCATCTAATTTCCTTGGATTCCGTTCAAAAGTGGAAGCACACCACTAATTAAAGAAATATCATCGGTTGCGTCGAAGCAATCCAGGTTTTCATTTCCAAGCCATCAGCGATGCTCGCGAAATACCGCAAGTGCGTAATACGCAAAAGTCCGCCTAAAAAGCTAATATCAGCAAGGCTGGAAGGAGAAGGAAAAGAGCAAAAAGTAAGTACGCCGGGCTGCGAAATTGCACTTAATCCGTTCAAAGTAACGACTGTAGCTTCCTTTTTACTTATATAGCTGAAAATTGTCTCGCGTGGTCGAGAGGCAGGAAAGTCACTTCAACCCGATATTGCACAAGCGAATATTCTCAATATTGCGGTGCTACATAGACAGTAATCATTTCAATAAGAAACTTGCCCGACGCTTGTTTTGCCTCTTTTCTTTCGGTAAAAGTATGTACGCACGTTGTGAACGGGTGGATTTATCCTGGCGATAAATTCTCGGCGTTATATGTAAGTGCGCCGAAATTTAGGTGACTCGAGAGAGGATGAAGTGGACAAATTGTCTGGAAAATTTTTTGAAAAGTCGGCTGTTATTTTTCTTTTACTTTGCTAGCTTTATGCGAAATATATGTCAGTTTGGAATTTCGGACGCTAGCCAAAGAATGGTTACACCTAAATGATTGTTTTCCAGTTATTTTCTCGTGGGGGTAGTCTGCCCCAACATCAGTGTACTCCACGAGAGCTTTTAAAAAATCTATTGCACTTCGACATCGACTGTGTTATTACAGGTGAGTTCGTCTTTGATAAATTTTTCCACGCAATGTCCATTCCATCGTTAGCTCAACAAACCAAAAAAAAGAGAGAGAAAAAGGAAAATAAATAAAAAAATAAAAGTTATCCACGAAAGTCGAACCGCAAAACAAGCTATATAACGGGTATGTAGGTGCACAACCATATCCTCCGTTATCAATAGTCCATTAGCAGAGCCGATCAATAAACGATACGTCCGGTTGAAAAAAAGCGGCGTAGAGCATTGTATACTTCAATTTTCTTCGCAATCTCTGAGCCATTAATCAAGCTTGGCGTTTGTGTACTATTAACTGAAGCTACGGCGGTTTGGGCGCGCGCACGTGTGTGTTCACGTTACACTTCCTCTCAATCGGAGCGACACTTTTGCCGGAGCGGTAATCAAGCTCGATTAATTGCAGTTTTTCCGCTTCCATGACACACGACGCAGCCGCGCGTATACACGACAATTTCACGCGCCGACGAACGTTGCGCGCCGCTCTTTTTTTCCCTCCCTCCTCTCGTTTTTTTCGGGCATGTTAAAACTGCCGTGGCCGAATTGTCCGTGATGAGCTTTAGTTTGGCAAATTAAACACGATGTGGTCACTGTGCGGTTTTCTTTTCGTTGCCCGCGGAGAGTTTGATATACCGTAACGTGCTTCTTTTTGGCGACGAGTGAATTTTAACGGGATTATGAGAAGCGAAATGCGTTTTCCCATTTTCATCGCTAAAATTAACGATGCTATATATCGTCGCTTCATTGGAAATATTCCATAGGGATATGATAATGCATTCGTGATGTAGCGAGTTTTCGTGGCACCATCAAATACGCAAACCACTAATTCAGAGAGTGAATAACCATTTTCACCGTTAAACTGAGCTTTAATGACGTTTGCTGAAAAAAAGGAATTTAGGTAAAAAAAAATTCTCTAGGCTTACTGATAATGCACGAAGTATTCCCGCTAATTGAAAATCGATGAGTTTTATCGGAAGTCGAAGCGCGAAAATTCAACGTGTAATTGTAGGCCGCCCGTAGGAAATAACTTGCGAAACGAAGGAGCCACCATGCACCATGCATTAACAGCGCACATGCTTCACGCGAAGAAAGCATGACGCAATTCAACGCACTGGAAGAGAAACCGCATTGCTCTGGCGCGCATACGTTATCTTGATATTTATTTTGCTACTCAGTCCTCTATCACCCGGCGCGCTGCGAAAGTAAGGAAAGAGTTGAACGAAATAGTTCACGCGGGAAAACGAGCAGCGCGCATATTACGCGCGCGTGATTTGATTCTGATGTTACGTCAGTGGTGCAGTGCAATCATAATATTATTCCAATCGCGCAGGATGAATGTGGAAAAAGGGGGACTCTCGAATTTTCCATCTAATCACAGCGACTTATTAGCTCACACTGGCAACTCTTTAAAAAAGCAGCCATCGCTGCAGAAAAAAAAATGAAGCCGGCAAATGGAAAAAAATGTGCGGGCGAATATTTCAGCGGGCACACATTTTTTATTCAGCCGTCGCTAAGTTGAGAGGGGTGGGTTTTGTTTCGCAGCGATGCAATTTTAATCCAGAATTCCTCGGGAAAGAAAATTAGCCGCGGGCGTGCGCGCTAAGATTGCCTTTCTCCATCAGCGGGGGGAGGCGGGGTATTCTTTTCGGGGGTTTGTTGTTGTTGCGTCTAAGTAACGAGCGGTCGTTTTATTCAATTTTCTCCGAGCCGTATCGGCTTCTATTTATCTTTTCCTCTTCCTCCGGCCATTTTCCAAGGTCATAACAATTTGCCCTCGTTACGCTCGCTTGAATTTTCAATTATTTCCTCTCTCTTGCCATGGTAACAAATGCATTTTTTCGGGGCTTCTTTTTTCTTCGAGGTAGAGGATTAACATGGGGTACTGTTTGTATTTCAAAGTGGAGAATTAAGTGCTCCTTTTGCGAGTTTCACCTGATACTTACCTTGGATGTTAACTAAGTCAGTTGAAAATCAACTTCAAACTTACGGCCAAAGTTTGGATTGTCGTGGTAAAGCATTTTTCGACAATTTATAAGTTTTGCCTGCGTATTACTTATATTATCAAGTAATACTATTACGTAAGCTAGAAGAACTCTAATCATTGTTTAAACTACGCGACAAATGTTTAGATAAACTTGAATAATCGAATTTAATTACATTATGAATTCATTTACCACATTAATTACATTGATTTTTTTTTGCATTAAAATTTTTCTGACTCTTAATGGAATTCTCACTTTTCCTTGGTAATTATCATGCTTTTAAAATATTTTTAATACAGCGATAAATACGGATGTGAATAATGCCTAACTAATATTAAATGTAAAAGTGTTGTTTAAAATAAAAATGGAATTCTTAAAAAAACCAAATATTTACTAATTATTTGAAGTCTAGAGAACAGAAATAAATGAAATGAATAGAAATAAAGGCATAATATATATGAATAGATTTAATTTAGTATTCATTCGTGAAAAATTGGTTTTTTTTAATAAGATTATGAATTTTTTACAGCATGGATATTTTCTTCAGTTCTTTAAATTAACAAAATATCTCTTAGTGCAAAGGAATATTTGGATTTTATTTTTTCAGTTCAATTATAATATTATGCTTGAAGGGTGCAAAAAATGTCAGACTCGTACTTTAAAACGTATTTTCCAAGGGCTAATGTCAAAGTTAAATAGCAAAATAGAACGTCAAATTATAGTTGTCTTTTAACTTGAAACAATTCCTCATAAAGAATGAAATAATGAAGTAAAAGGTAACATTGTGACAATGTAAAATAAACTGAAGATGTATTCAACGATAATTGCTAATTTTATTGATATACAAGATATACATCGCGCGTGGCGCTGGCGACATTTGCTACATACACAATTGCACGCATCGTATCATGCGACGCCTTAACTTTCATTTTTCACAAATATAGTATCAATCGTCGAAAAATAAACCCAATGCCAATGCAATACATAGGCGATCTTATTTATATATTTATTTCTTTTTTGTTGAACTCAGAGTATGGATTACCTAGCTGACTCTCTTTTATTTTTTTTGTTTGAGGGAATGGGTTCATTTTTCGACGCGAAACGTTTTATTTCGGGTATCGGTTTCAGTTTTATTTTTAGGTCGACGATATTCGATGCGACAGGATTTTCTTCGTTTTTTCCAGAGCTTTCAATGAAATTTCATTCGTGGCAAGTTCCACTCTCTGCCACTATCGCTGTGTATATTTTTTGTGTGCGTTTTTTTTTAAGGTACGTAGACATTTTTGGAAAAATCGTGCCGTTTACTGTTTTTAAAATATTGAATAATTGATTGACACGACTGCAGTCAAATCATTTCGCTTTTTTTATTTACAGAATAGCAAATCAATAAATCAAATGTAAAATTGCTATATGGTTTGTTTCATTTGAAAACACAAGTGTTGTACACATTCAATATTTACAAGCTCAGCAAAAAATATATATAAACTTCTCATTATCGAGTAATTACGCGTTATAAACTCTAATTTAGACATTAGTCAACATCAAATAAAATAGTAGATATTAAATTTTGATCCTACAAAATTGATCTTACTATACTACATGTCTCATACAAATAAAAACGTTACGAATCTACGTAAATTGCGTGGCTATTTTCTAGAACACGATAAGTAGCAACTAAAATAACTTACTAATTCCTTTCGTTCAACATCGAATTCACTAATTTTTCATCCCTCAGGATTTCATTCAAACAATATAACCATAAAAATATTCTCGCATCGAATTACATGTACACTTTGCATTCGTATAGTTATTGCAACTAATGTAGAGTAGACGTCATTTTGCTTATTGCATGGATACGAATAATCGAATCTCGTAATAAATGATAACAAGTGCATAATACCAGTGACAATGATGACGTAGGAACCAATATATTAAAAAATGAACATGGAAGATTCCGAAGATGAAAAAATATCATCTCCTGTCGTTTTCGTGATAAATTCACGTAATAATAATAATTTTCATAGAAGATATCGATCGGAAGTACAAACGACGCAGGCGGCATGTCGTTCGAATCAGTCTCCGTCATCCCTTTCCGGTATTACTCTTGAAATCGAAGCACCAACTACAAACACGGCTCTATTTATACAAAGATAATGATAATAGTTTGTCGGCATAGCAAGTCTCTTGGCGCGACGTAAGAATCATAATCCGCGTTGACTGTGAGAGGTAATCACGTGAACTGCGCGCCAAAACTCAATTACAACTATGCATAATTGACGCAAAAATTCAAGTCTTTTTAGGCTGCTCAGGGATAACGAGTCGCTGAATTGCAATGGTTTCGATTTTCATTCTCCAGGGAATGTCGCTCCGATTAAATTTTGAAAATTCGTTGATCCCAGCGTCTAATAGTCTACCGTATACAAAGTCAGCCGTCGCACAGCTCGTCCCCTTCAGGCAAGGAATAAATCGCGAAAAAGGAAACTAAGAAAAAAACTATCTATTAGCAGACAGTCTTGTCAGCTTGGCAGACACCGTCGGGAGGGGCGAGAAAGAGTTTGCCATCGCCACAGGCACACAACTGATAAACGGCAATACCATCGGATCTGTTGCTGGGCATTCGTCTTCTCGACGACGATGACGTCTCGTGAGGCGCAAGAAGACCTTTGAGAAAGACGGCTCGCGCGTCAAGGGTGACGGTGCCTTGCCGGCTGCTAAGTCGCAACTGCGACAGGCAGTCGGCTTCTATTCCACCCGCCGACGACTCGATGCTTATTCGCTGTGGCGCGCGTATCTCCAGAGAACGCGTTGCCGACTCTAGCCTGCGAAGCGCAGTTCAATTTTTAAGTGCTGCGGGTTAATCTATGACCAGGCTTGCCTGTTATCCCTTCGTTACCTCAGGTCGCGACCAGCTTCGGAATTGACAAGTGGGGTTTGAACACTGCCGTCGAAAACAGCGCCACCAACACCTGTGATTTTCAGAGTCTTGGCACCAACGACCACACGCTCGTTCGTCGCCGAGAACAGTAATTCGCCGTTCGGATCGGTTATTTTGAAGGCCCTCGACACGCATTCCATTTTGTCTTCGCCTGTAATTTAACGATAAGTTGTCGCTTAGAGCGCCATCATTTCAAGTACTTCACCAAATTAAATGCATATGAAATAATGCGAGATTGGACATATCGTATCAATTTAATTCAACTCAGTAGATAAAACTCACATATTCGGCTTGAATATTCATCGGTAAAAACTTACTGAGCGTAAATCTGGCAAGTAATCGGCCATTATCACCTCGAGCTGATGCAGTGAAGTTGGACCAAGACTCGAGACTGAGACTATTGCCACGTCTGGACTTGAGACTAGAGGCGACTAAAGAATCGAGGACGGCAGCTTGGCCACGTAGCTCAACACCTCCAGGTATCACTTTCAACGAACCTATCCCCTCCTGCAGCACATTGGCAAAGACAAATTATTATTATTTCAATTTTTAACCTGTGGTAGAAAGTTAAACAAAAATACGATCCATTACTTCCGGGAATGTTCACATTCATTTTTCGATGCATGGGTAGTATTATCAATAAAACTGTCAGAAAAAACCGAAAGAGAGAGTGAGAGAGAGAGAGATGTACAACAATTAATTTCTTCAGTCAAAATTGCATTTGTGTTGGATATGGCAATTAACATTTACGCATGTACAATCAAGTCAACACGAGCGCGAAAAAGAAAAAGAAAAAATAGTCGTTTTGATTGATCACGGCCAGTAACAGTAGCGCAACGCTATATATACTGTAATTCCGCCATCCGTCCAAATTATACCTTCGACTCACATACCCTGCTCTCGCTCAGTCTAATGGCATCCCATTTCGTGATTATGAAAATTAATTGATCTACGCGAAACTCGCTTGAATGTATAATCCTCCCTGCGTGCATTATTGATTGTCGCGTTTCTCGACAAATAATACCTCGGATCTGCGTTTAGTTTTTCGATAGGTAAGATTAGAGTCACTCGGTAATGATCATTAATTTCCATTTTGTGAGCACCACGATAATCCTAGTTCCCCCATTTTTTATCTTGCTACCTTTTGAAATAATGAACAAACGAACTCATCGATTTGTAGCTTTTTACCCGCCAATACGTAATTCGACTATTGTCAGACTTTTGCTTGCCCGCAGGACAAAAGCACAGCGTTTTCATTTGTTTTCATTTGTGCAATTTTCCCACGCACGCGACTTAATTAAGCATGAAGATTTATCGCCGCTGCGACACAGATGAAAATCCCATCATTCTTGCATATTATTGATAATGGATTTTTGCAAAATTTTAAATCCTTTCGTGGATTTTGGTGTATTTACGAAAAAGCTTTTTGACATTCTCTTTACTACAGTGATAAAAAATAAAAAAGATTCGTATTTTTTTTATTCGTAAATGGGAAAAATTTTTTTTGAATCTAAAAGAAAAGTCGTACAACCGCTCGCGTTGACATTTCCCAATCACAATAGGCCGCGTTACTGTCGTCGACAGACGCGCTGGAGCGCGTCCGGTACTCTCCCTCTCCAAGGAAAAGTCGCTTAGTTGACGTCGAAAGAAAGCCTTTATTTGTTCTTTTTTAAGCTCTTTCTACTCGTTCCTTTTCGCGAGAAAAAACGTTTTGCAAGATGACGCCTCGCCTGCAATTAAAAACTAATCGTATTTCAATGTTCATTCAACATATTCTCAAAGTATTAGCAAGGCAATTAAGATCCGTTTCTTACGTGTATGTATATGGAAGGAGGTGGAGAACACTTGAGGAATCGTTTGGCAATTAGTCGGCGATGCATTGGGTCGATCATTGGAATCGGGCATTGCGAGGCGTTGATTGCGGCTATCATTTCCCAGTGCCTACGACGAGTGAGTATAGTCTGAATTATGTTTACGAGCTTTCGGTCTCCCCCTCCCTCCTCGGTATAATTGCCATTTGAAATATCGCGGACGATTAGCTTGAAGCTTATTTTGCGGACCGATGATCCGTCAAGTCCAAGCTCTTGCCATTTTTCACGCTGTTTAATTCACTTTAGCGTCGGCGGCGGAGTGGCAATTTCGATATAGCATCTCTTGTTGCGAAAGAGACCAGAAATTTTAGAAGTTACGTTGCAGTAACTGACAGATTTTTAATTACGGATTTTCATGAAAGCATAATTTTGTATTTTACAAGAACGGGAAACTTATTATGATTTATGTCGTGCCTGAAACCTAATTCAGTCATGTAATTGGGAAATATGAAAAAATCTAATGAAAATAACCGTTTCTTTATTTACAAACGATTAGACTTTTTTACTGAAATATCGGAAATTATCTTTATTTTAGTGAACCGAAAGTCCGTTATTTTCCATCCATTATATTCGTTAAATCCAATACCGAAAATGAACAATTCTAAAGTTTTCATTTTATGAAAAATTTATCAGTGTCAGATTCTGTTAAACGCGAGAAAGTCTTTCAAGAAAAAAAAATAACGAACGACGGTTGATAATTAACTTCCACGGCGCGCACGGAAAAGAAAACCCTGGTTGCGGTGATAAGCCGTAAAAACAACGGTAATATTACACTAATTAACGAAGTTGACATTTTTTGGCTCTTGAAAGTAAAAGACGAGACAAGCTCCATTAACCCAATTTCTCCGCCGAAGAAAAGAAGAAAAAAAGAATCGACAGCACTAGCCGGTGGTAGGGTTTTGTGCCATTGTCGAGCGCGCGAAAAATAATTATCGGCTTCGCGAATTTTCTCTCTTGATATTTTTTAGCATTGATGTCCGACGCCTCGAGGCATTATTACGATGATGTTTTTTCTTCACGTGTGTTTGTGTCGTAGCATACTTTTTTCATTCTTATATGCAGTTGGACTTTCTTCTTTGAAGATGTGACGAAGATGAAGTGAAATGTGATAAAATTAATTTGGTTTTTCCTAACGAATATCCTTTGATAAATTATACCAATTAACCCTTTTTCGCTGTATTTGCCATTGATTTAAATTTATCGTCGACGTTTATTCTGCAATGAATGACCAATACTTGTCGTGTTATCTGATTATTCTTTCATTTGCGTTTCATTCGCTAATTATTTCAAACTGTTCAAACGTGAAAAATCACAGGTCATGATGAACGACAATTGCACACAAATACGTTGCATTCAAAAAGAAATAGTTTTTTCCCTCTCGATGAAGAATCTCTCGGGCTTATTTGCAATGCAAACTTTAACGATAATACGCATCATGCCGCCATTTAATGAAGAGTAAAACGCGCGTAATGACGCGTGTTTTACTCTTTAATACATTATAGCATACATCAGGGTGATAAACGTCGAATGGTGATTCGATTCCTCCATCCGCGCGAACTGTATACGCGCGTTTGGGAAAGTCTATCGATTCACAATCAATCGCCGACGGGGTTTTAGAACACGCGCGCGTTCGCGCCCAAACTTTCTCTATTTTAGCGATGACGTGCTCCAGAGTATTAATTCTGACGTCCGAATGTTAAACTTGGACGAGTTGCCCGCTGATTTAGAGCGGAAATTATATGCCGTTCTGCTAACTTTTGACTGTGCGTCGTTAAAAATTAGTCCCTCGACTCACAACTTCAACACCTCAACTTTTTAATTCTTTTTTATCAAGGCTGTTGAGTTCAGTGTAATTGTAAATGAGCCATATATTCGTCATTAAAACTAGTGCCTGCATTTTCCTGTTCGCAATCAACAAGCCGTGTGTATTTTAATGGCCGCGAAAACAAAACAAAAATCGTATAAAAAATTGCGAAGCGGAGAAAAATCCATACACGTAAAACTACCATTTGTCAAAGAGAGAGAGAGAGAGAGAGAGAAAGAGAACAAACAATCCCCCTCCCCCACGAGTCGGCACTAAAGTATCCGTTCGATTCATTTTTCAGCATCCTCTCTTTCTCGCAATACACAACATCGTCCAAATGAAGAATCGAATCTCGCAGCTCGCTCTTCACTGCATCTTTTATTCGGTTTACTCGCGGATTTTTCAGCGCGGAAGTGAAAGAAAAAAAGTTTTCAATCCATCCAGCCTTGCGAAGCACGGAGACATAAAAATGCGCAAGACACTAAAACTTGCGGTAGAGAGACATCAACAACGCGCGTTGTTGCACACTTCGTCGCGCCCCAAAATTCATAGCTGCTCGTAAAGTCTCGCGCTCGCGTTCAAGGTAATGAATAATGCCCCCGTCTACCTAAGTTTTTCTCCTTGCCGTCGATGTGTGAATCATATTGAATATAGATCCAATTTTTTTCGGAAAGGAAGTGGGAAGCTCGTTAAAATTATTCAAGTTGAACGTGCCCTTGCTATATTACACTCTGTTTACATGGTATTTTATGAAGCCGTGAGGGATTTGTAAGCGAAAACAATGCCAACAGCAGTACGACAATAGAACTTGATAGCGCGTATGCAGAGAGAGAGAGAGAAAACATTAAAAACATCATTAAAAAACATCGTGCTTGGGCATTTCTACATTTTCACTTTTTCCTTTTGAATCTCAATCCCCCACTTTCTCTTCCGCTGTTGTATGTCTTATATTTTCTTTTCTTTTTTTAAAAGAGGAGCTTTACAATAATGAGAATAGATGGAAGTAAAAAATAAAGACGTCCTCTTATGTGGAAGACACAGTTATTCAATTCGTAAAAAAATGTCTTAGGTCTGAGTTATGGTTTTATTATATTACTTATTTTGAACTGCTGAACATGAATTTGGCAGTAGAATAGTCTCATTACAATCCAGTTTTAAATATACATATTAAACATAGATCAAAACATTTTTTTATCAGTAGATTTGTTATGCAAAAAGTGCAAACAAATAAGAATAGGACCTTAAGAGTTCGATCACTTTTGAAGAAAAGAATCAATTAAAAAATCTTGTGAAATGAACCTCCAACTAAATTTTTAATAATTTCGACAAAGAAATGGAAAATCGTTCTGGATCAATCAAAATCTCAAAAAAAGTATCACACATTTGAAATATCTCAAAGTGTACCTATCCCATGCTGGTTCTAAATTACAGCACCCAACGTACAGAATCCATCGTACGTTCGCACGAGAGAGAGAGAGAGAGAAAGAGAGAGACGGTGCACTGGTGAAAAGGGCAGCCAATTGCGAAGAGCCTGTAATCCTCAAAAGGTGCGGGAAGGTTCTCTCTATATATAGTAGTAGCGGGAGTGCAGAGGCTCCTTCAATTATACAGTAGCAGCAGCCTGGAGGGTCAGTACTAGAAGAGAGAGAGAGAGAGAGAGAGAGAAGCTTACGAGAGAAAACGAGCAGCAATCGATATAGCGAGAGAGAAAGCGAGCTGGCGTCTTAGAAGAGCGACGGCTTCTAATTATCTACAACGAGGCTTAATCGATCGCAAAGTGCCGGTGCGCCAGAATTTAATTTGCTCGCTAACGCCATTGTGGCCGAACACAC